GGTACTGCAATCACGGTCAATATTCTGTAGTCCTCTCTCACTCTCCCTGACTCAGGTTGCCAGATATGCAGACGAATCCAGCTGGGACCACAATAGCTGAATAGACAAGAATTTTATGTCAACAACAAATCTATAACCCAACTTCTTTTTCACACCTCATCCCGATAGAAATCCTTGTTTTATTCCATGTTTTGTCGTTAATGATTTGAGAATCATAATGAGACCGTTTTTAGTACATGTTGTTGACATACTGTACTTACCAGTGAGTTCTGGCAACCCGGATCACAGCCTTTCTGATTGGTAAAATAGTGGAGGGCAGGACATTGAAATTAAAACTAATTTTGAAGTCCAAATATCTCGGCTGAACCACTATTATCAGTCAAAATATCAGTCAGATTAGGGCCATTTAATGATGACTTGACATGTAAATCTCAGATATTGCTACTTTAAATGTATTTTGCAGATGGAGGTTTTTGTTGTTCTGGACCTATGCATGTGTGTACCTGTATGTGTGTTTGTAAGTTTACGTTTTGTTCATTTGGAAAAAAAAATAAAGCAGGTAAAAGAGGAAAAATTAAGTATTATTCAGACACAAAAAACATTTTTGCAACCCTTTTCTTTGTTATTTTACAAACAACATATACAAAATATCTCCACTATCACAAAGAACATTGTATTGACAGGCCAAATTTGTTTCTCAATAAGTACACGATGGAGAAACAGGCCGGTCTTCAAGGGTAAAGGTAAATGAGTTGGCTCTGGTCAGGTCCATATATTACTGTTTAGTCCCTCTTTAGTGCTGTTTAGTCCTGGTTGGATCCTATTTGGTTCTGGTTTAGACACAAACCTTTTTTTCATGGCATATCTCTATTCCCATGACAATCTATTAGCGCCATGTACACATATAAATACTGAAAACAACTCATGCTTACATGTTTTCGTTGATCAATGAAGCATTTTGTCATATTGGATTTGTAGTTTAATCCTTCTCTTCGGAATAAAACTGTCAGAGTGGTTTGATTAAATAGAAATAAGTGGTGAACTTGAGCATTTGTAGCCAGTGAAGTCTTTGAGGGATTAGTCAAATGTGAGGAAATATCTTTATTTTATGATTGTTGAAACTATTGTCAAGCAGCCAACTATTAAACATTAACTTTCATTCACAGTGTGTTGTGTGCATTAAAGCCTCTATTTTATGTCTTATGTCTGAAAAGTTTGAATTGATAGTAGTTACTTTTGGTTTTAATTAGACATATCTCTGTCATCATGTATATTGCACATTTAAAAACAGAAGAACAGTAACAGATTACACTAAACAAGTCTAAAAAAAAATAATTAAAAAAATAAAATTAAAAAAACTAAAAAACAATTACAATAAAATCAAAACACTTAAAATAAAATACAAAATACATAAATAAACATAAAACTTTAAGATAAATAAAAACAACTCAAACCACACAACTCACGCAATGTTGAAAGCCAGAGAGTAAAAGTGGGTCTTAAGACGAGACTTAAAAAATTCTCATGATTACACCGATACAAAAAAGTCATAAAAGTCATATTTTGGTGCAGAAAGTACGCGATTTGGTTTTTTGTTCCTCATAGATATTGAATTTCATTAACATTTTGCACCTTGTGAATCTAGATAACATTTAATACTGAAAAGGAACCGAGAAAAACTCTATAATTCAGGAACCAACACTAAAAACCATTGACCGCTCAAGCATTCACGCTCAAGTAAAACTCATGTAAGACTAGTTGTCATGCCGACACACTCTCTCATTTTGTAAAGTCACATTTCCAGTACATTGCTGCGCCTTTTCCTTCCAAACTTACTTTATCTGAATCTCAAATGTCCCTGATTACGGCTTTGCACTATTTACAATGTAGTAAACAGCTCAGTCACAGAATAAACAAAAGTCAATGAGAGACCGGCCCAGACACTCCCCATGTGTGCTCCCAGGAGAGGCCCGGTTCTTAGGGGCCCGTGGTGCTCGTGTCCGCCCACACAAGCACCTTCTCTGTGTGGGAACAAACGCTCGGCTGTGCCCTGCAAACCCACACGGTCCACCTCAAACATTGCCCTGCACAGAAGCAACAAACACGTCAAAACATGCCAAGGATATGTGTTTACGTTCTGGACTTTGATGGATACAATGTTTAATGAAATTGACAAAAGTTTAGGTGTTAGGTTCCATAAATGAGGTTCAGATTATTTCTACATTTCTCAAACTCGACTGTAAGGCAACTGTTTGTTACCCATGAAATTTCACCATTTTATAGGTGTCATTCCAACATAAAGGCACACGATCAAGATGAGGAGATCCTTTATTCGTCCCACAGTGGGGATATACAGCACAAGATACATGAATATTAACTCTAATTAATACTAATACTAATTTTTATTTTATTTGGTTGGGACAGTACATGTGAACACACTGGGCTAATGGGCTAATTTCCATTTGTTGTCCCACATTCGGACTCACCCTGAACTATTGCACATATTTTTAGTGGTAAGGGAAACCAGAGTACCCAGAGGAAACCTACGCAGACACGGGGAGAACATGCAAACCCCACTCAGAAATTCCCTGTTCCGACCAGAATTTGAACCCAGAACCTTCTTGCTGAGAGGCGAGAGTGCTATCCATTCAGCCACCGGGCCAGCCCTAAGATAAACTAAAATCTCTAACCCTAGCATACAAAGAAGCAAGTATGAAATCTCTATAACAAGGGTTGTTTGATCACCATTAGCGTTTTGATACAATTAGCTAACACAATGTACCATTAGAACACAGAAGCAATATTTGCTGGAAACTTCTTTACAACACATTCCAATAAAAATCATCCATATGCGTGCCACTTTGGCTTACAGAAAGGATTCTCCGAGCGCCTCAAATTACAGTAAAATCTTCTGCACTAGCTGTTACTAGTTGAGCTACAATTTCTGCTAAAATCTCCCCTGTCCCTCACAAAACAGTCTATGTGGATTGTCGGATCTGTCGGATCCGTCATGATGGACCTGAAGTCTGAACCAACGTAGGCCTGACAGAGCAGAACGTTCTGCAGCCAGTTCCTCATGGATCCTTTGAGAAAGACGTCCACTGCTGATTATCACAGCGCGACTGTGTCCTTCGAGGAGTGATGTCACGTTCCAAACCAAAACTCATTTTTAGCTCATCATTACTTCTGTAGAGCTCGAACACACATTTAGAAATGTCCTCTTACATGTGCTTATCTCATGTTTTCTTCCCACTGATTCCAGGATGAAGGAAGGGTCTCACATTTAATGACCAACAATTATACAAATGAATAGTTGGTTAGAAAAATATTTGAAAGGCTTACAATTTTATCCTTACCAAGTTTTGAAAAGTCAGATCTATGTCAATACCATAAAAACAAAGTTTCAGCCCTTATTGAGCACATTTCTTTTCAAATATATTGCAAACAACAAATATTGTTGAAGACTGTAGCTAGAGCAATACAACTTTTCGATATTTGATCATATTTGCTATGTTTTGTTTTTGCTAGTGAACTCTTTTCTAAATATTCATACAAGGCTTTTCAACTCAAATGTATTCAAGTTTATTTTGATATTGTAAAGGCAACCACGAACGTAGAGGAAGTGTTGAATTTCACAACAATCATATGATTCTTATAAAACATTTACTTGCGTCACTATAGCTTAAAAGTTGTGGCTGCAGATTTTTTACAACGTCTGGAACTTAAGAAAAAAGGCAAATGCTGTCAAAAATATATATTACCCTTATTCATTATAAAAGGAAGTCTTGTGGCTTTACATTTGAAGAAAGGCCCCGTGACCTTGGCTGTGAAGTAAATGTCAGACGTGCTGGATATAAAACACCTCATTGGAAAAGTCGGTAACTCAATGAATGTGTGTTTTTATCCAGATGATTGAAGCTGGCAGCTCTCACAAACACGGCACTGTTTTATGTTGTCGCCTTCGATGAAACTAAGCATTTGACGTCACTTGTGCTGTACATTGGCCGGGGTTGTCTTTAGGAGTGCTCTGAGGCGGTGTGTGTCCTCTCCGCGTCCTGACGAAAACACAACTGCGTCAGCGCACACACTCGCAGATGTTGCCAAAGCAGAGGCGAGCGGCTTTGACACTGAACAAGCTAATCGAGCGTGGATCTGACCTGTGTTTACGGCCACAAAGACACACGGCTTTTACTGTATCTGACTGTATCTGACGCTGGTGTTATCAAATCTGTTTACTATGTTTCAGCTAGTGGAGAGAGCGAGGCCAGAGAGAAACCAGAGAGAGAGACCAGAGAGAGACCAGAGAGAGACCAGAGAGAGAGACCAGAGAGAGAGACCAGAGAGAGAGACCAGAGAGAGACCAGAGAGAGACCAGAGAGGGAGAGACCGGAGAGAGTCCAAAGAGAGATCAGAGAGAGAGAGAGACCAGAGAGAGACCAGAGAGAGACCAGAGAGAGAGACCAGAGAAAGAGAACAGAGAGGGACCAGAGAGGGAGAGACCGGAGAGAGACCAAAGAGAGATCAGAGAGAGAGAGAGACCAGAGAGAGACCAGAGAAAGAGAACAGAGAGGGACCAGAGAGAGACCAGAAAGAGACCAGAGAGAGACCATAGAAAGAGACCAGAGAGAGACCATAGAGATCAGAGAGAGGCCAGGCAGAGACCAGAGAGAGACCAGAGAGAGAGACCAGAGAGAGACCAGAGAAAGACCAGACCAGAGAATAAATGACTCTTCTGGCCACCCTGGAAAATCCATGTTCCAGCTTCTTCCCTCCATCAGTTTAAACGGAGCAATTTGATGATCTTGCACTTGTATTGATCAATTGTTTCCTGCAATTTGTTTGTTTGTTTTATTTCTGTACTTTTAACCTTGTTTTATTTATTTTCTTTTCTGGTGCACACTGGGGACTTTTGCAAATGTATTCCAATGTGGTTTTACTGCAAATGGCAAATAAATGAATCAGAATCAGAATCTGAAGACTTTGTGCCTTTTCTGTTGATAATGCTTCTGTGGATTCTTTTATTTATCGATGTCTCGGTTCATGTTGTGCAGATCCGACGCAGGAGGCCCACACCTGCCACACTCTTCAGAGTCGCAGACCAGGCTTCTCCGGACGATGACCCGGCCGCGCATCAGGTAAAGGTGAAATCAAAGATTTATACTACTTTATACATTACACTGTTATCGACACGAAGTCCGGAAATCCAGACATGAATCTAAACTAAAACTAGTATCAAAATCTATCTTTTTAGATGCTCACTAAAAGAGCACTTTGTGAGTCCCCACTTCTACCACTAGAGGTTTCACTTGCGGGCTAATTTATACATATTTCCCATTATAAAACTTTAAATGCCAAATATCCTCAAGATCATGTCTAAAATTAAAAAAATAACAAGGACAATGCCTGAACACTATTTATATTTAACGTTTGAATCAGAATCAGAAAAACTTTGTATTGCCATTGGAAGTAACAGGAAGTCACAAACTATGAATTTTCTTTGGCTCATGGTGCAAACAAAGTTAAATGTAAAAATAGATATACGGCATGCATAACAAATCATCATATAATTTCTACTATATACAAAATAGTGTGCATTTGTAAATAGAAGAAATTGTATTATTATTTGCCATGCATACACACAATTTACAGACATTTAACATTGCAGGTGGGTCAATCATTTGCTATAAAAATGGACTGATTCAAGACTACATTAGATTCTGTTTTAAAGAAAATCCTTTGTTCATCACATCATTTCAACGCCGTAATCCATCATTTATGTGGTGTTGGAATAAAGTGACCTCTGCATAAAAAGCAATCCTTCTAGGTTTCCCGACAACATTTCTAACTTGCAGATAGACTGTGCTGATACGCTGTTCTCCCTTCATATTCGACCGTGATGTATTGCACTTTCCGGGACGGCTTTGTTTTTATTCACATTCCAACGACTTTCTGTACCAATAGTCATTCAGCCGATAAAAAAAACGATTCCACTATCTTCAGGAACTTGCTTGTGGCTAAAAGAAAAGCCCAAGATTTGTTTGTGTTGATAGGACACACTTTAAACACTTATTGCTGGATATGAGATATTTCTTTCTTTTATTCGGGTCTTGACCTCAACAAAATACAAAAGAGTGGAGACAGTGTTTTTGTCCATTGAACTCCGTTAAGCTGCAATTGAGAAAGTTCGGTTAAAATGGACAACATGATAAGTTATCATCTGGAAATATTAAGTAAAATAAAGACCTGATTTTTAAATTGGACTGAACAATAGACTTTGATAATTCTGTACTATTGTGTATATTTGTCTGTTAATGTTAACCTCCATTTTATACGCAGGTGGGGAACTACACTTTTCAACCACAAAAAATGGATCTAACTAGTTCCATAAATGTCTTGTTGAGATGTTTTTTTTTCTTTTTTTTCTATCACTATTATTAAGAAGTACCGGCTAACTAAGAGAAAATACTTTAAAGCAGCTTTAATTGTATACAAATCTATTCATGGCCTCGAATCAAAGTACAACCGTAACATTTTATATCTATACGAACCAACTCAGACTCTGAGGAGCACAGGGACTGGCCTCTTGCTGGGACTCTGAGGAGCACAGGGACTGGCCTCCTGCTGGTGCCCAGAGTCAGAACTAAACATGGGAAGGCTGCATTTCAGATTTATACTGCAAAAATCTGGGTTAAATCCAGTTTAAAAACCATTCTATGTGGCTGTGCATGCAACTGAAGGATTGTATCTTCACTCTTTTTAATGTGCTGTTATTATTCATGATTTAAATGCCTTGTCTAAAATATTGTTCCATCTTTTTTATTCTACACAAATATACAATACTTGCCTTGCCAAGATCCTGTTGAGATGGACTATCTATTTTACAAGGGGGTCCTATTCAGAGCTGCTTTCCAAGTAAAGCAATATCTCTATGGCAACAAGGAAGAACAGTTAAATACTACAATGTACTACTTGCTTTTTTTTTTTTTATCCCTCCTCTGCGTTGTCTGGAATGTTAATTTTGACATTATCAGGCGTGGACAATCCATTACGCTTTCATTTGTATAAGGCTAATGCAATGTCCCACAGTGGGTAAATTACAGATATAACAATAACAATCTTCAGACATGTTTTGGCCTCACCATAAAGTTTGACGACTCATTCACCGCACTGATGTTTGTCGTTTTTTTTTTCCGCAGTGGGTGGTGGGAGAAAACGGAATCCTCAAACCCAAACGCATCAATCAGAACGTGTACCAGCCGCCGTCACTCAAAGGTCAGTGTATTATGGGCTTAAGAGGCTGGAGGTGGTGGACGCTGCTGCTGTTCTGCTGTTTGTCGGCTGTCTCGCTCTTTCTGCTTCCTAAAAACTGTACATTGGAGAATTAGGGCTTGGAAATACAGAAATTCTCACTGTTTTTGAAAAGGTTATTTACAATATGATTAGACATAGGTCGGTTTGTCAGAAAACGTCGCAAGAACCTTCTATTGTCTTCTACCTGGCTGCAACAATAACATCAACAAGTTCAAAACACACATAAAACCAAATGTAAGTGAAGGCTAAAGCTAGGGTACAGAACTTTCAAAACAGAACAAGAAGTAATCAAATGAATCTAGTTGATCCTATAACTAGATTTTACATGCATGTGTTTTTGGATCGGCTTTTTCGGAATAAAAAAGGGGAAAAGAAAGATCCACCCTCACACAGCCAACCAGCTCTCAGCTAATGAAACAAAAAAATAGGGCTCTTTTTCTACAAGTCAGAAATAAGACAACTTTTTACTTGAATGAAATCATTTCTGTTGCGACAAACACACAATATTTATGAATACAAACATAGTTACGGTACACCAGCTTTAGTACCTAAAAGTTTTATTTTAGATTCAAGTAAAAATCAAAAATGTTTGGTGGAACATGATCTACGGCCCCCTAGAAATCCCCAGAAGTTGAAACCCACACTCAAATCCTTGAATAATCTACACAACATGCAAACTTAAACTATACTAGCTGCTTACTTGAAAGCAACACAACAAATACATAAAAAAGCACCCAAAAGTGTGATTGGCTAGATTTGAATATGGATTGGTATCTACATCTGTCTAACAAACTCAAAGAGCTCACATGACCCATTAGAATATTAATCTGATTTTATTTTTTGTTATTTTTTTTGGCCACGAGCGCAGATTTAAAATAGCTCTTTAGACAGAAAAGGGACAAACCGATCATTTCTCATCCGAAAGCAACACAAATCAATCTCTATATCTCACAAATGTTCAGAGTTTTTAAAGTAATCTTGGACAAAAACATTCTACCGTGGTCTCAATGTTCGGCTTCGGTGCATCTCAAAGCAGAAGAGTGTATTTTAAATGATGTAGAAAGAGATTAGGCGATATAACAGATGTGAGACAGTGAAACTATGAAGCGTGGGCTGATCCAGGATTATCGCCGGAGGTAGACAGATGACACTGCCTTCACGTGTGCTCATTAGGTGGACAATAGTTCCCCATAGAGCCCCATGTTTTGTTTGTTTTTGATTTGAGCGACATTAAAGACTTAAAACCTACTATGTTACAACCTACCAATTTGTGAAGTGTAAAAAGTGCTACTTAAAAATATGTCTGCTTTATTTTTTTAATTTATTTTTTACATTTAAATGTGTGGCGACAACTGTTAGCTCAGTCGGTCGGGCATCTGGAATCACATGCGTTGTATTAAAGCTGGGGTACCCAACTTTTAACCACAAATAATGATAATGATACAAAAATCCTTCTAAATAGTTCCCCTTTCTCAAAATGGTTTGGTTATATGATATCACTAGTTTTCTAGCCTCTGTCACATCTTTAGATCACCTTTTTCAGACAGAAAAGTGAAAAAAAGGCGACCACCAAGCCAATCAGCCAATCAGCTCTCAGACAGCAAAGCAAAACAAAAACAAATAGTGACTCACAGGGATCGTTCTTAAAAGTATGAAAAAGATAAGATGTTTCTAATCAGATGCATTTTTACCTTTACAAGACAAAAACAAAATGCATTATTTATAACAAAAAGGGTTTGCCGGCTTCAAGATAAGTTATCAATTGTAGTAACAGTAGATGGAGTGATGAATATGTTTCCAGCTTTTTATACTTTTACATTTTGGGCTTGAGCTGTCATTTCTAATTTGAATGAGATTATTCAGACCAAATTCTTGTAATGTTGCCACTGGTTTGTAATATTTATGTAATTTGGTTGCTATGAAATATCCGCTAATTAAACAATAATAATACGTCAATGTCTGATAACCTTGGCAACCCGTACTTATTATTCATTCACTGGATGATAAAATGCTGTTCCAAATTAACGCCTTTTATTCCTTCATCGTCTAACACGGTTTCCTCATGTGCAAATGTTTGGAAGCAGCGGGGGCACTAAAAATGATGAAGTCCCCATGGTGCAGTATGGCTTTATGCGTCAGCAGTCTGAGTGCAATGACAAAAGGCAGGGAGGCTGATAAGGGAAGTCCATTCAGGTGCAAAGTCATAGCGCTCAGGAAATGTTAAAAAAGAAAAAAAAGTGTCTTGCTCCTTCCTTCTTATCTTTACCTTTATTTGTTGCATGCATGTGTGGTGTTTTGTCCCCCTGCTTTAAACCTTTAAACACTGTCCATATTGTGTATAGATACTTTTATACAGGTTGTTTTCACATTTTAGATACACACTGAAAAGGTACTTAAAATTGTCTGCATTTGTCAGTTTTTACATTTGAAGAAACATACAATGAGTTTAGTATTGTGTAGAATAATTACACAGTTTAAACACAACCATAATATTCTCAGAGCTTTGTCCAATCAGAGAATGCACTGCTGTTATATCTGCGTATGGAACAGATATGTAGCTAGAATTATACAATACAATACAGTAAAAACATAATCTACTACAAAGTTTAGTTGGCTATAAATGCGACAGGAGTTATTATGTTAAGTTACAGTAAGTTGGAATTACAGTAATACACGAGATTGCGGCGGGAATTTATAAGTTTGTTCTTCCTCCCACTCCTTTTTGAGTTTGAATAATGTACAGAATTATAATAAGGGATTGGATATGTTCAAAAATTCTATGTAGTGACATCTGATAATAATGTTTGAAGTACATTGAACTCAAAATTACCTCAACTATTGGTATGAATAGTTTCCACATACAGCCATTCAACAGAAAAGTCAAACACTAAAGTTGTAATGTATCATAAAACACATCCTCACACACTAGAATCGCTAGTTTCAAAACTTCCTCTATGTGTGAAAACAGCCTGTATGGATGAGCCCAGCCCTCTCCATTCACTCCCTGTGTGTGTGTGTGTGTGTGTGTGTGTGTGTGTGTGTGTGTGTGTGTGTGTGTGTGTGTGTGTGTGTGTGCGTGTGTGTGTGTGTGTGTGTGTTTGTGTATGTTTCTCTCCTCTCGTGTGTCCCGTAGCTGTGCAGAAGATGGCAGAGGCCCACATGCAGAACCTCGGGGTGTACACTGCTCACGAGGGCGACGAGGAAGAGGAGGAGGAGTACGGTGAGATGTCCCGGCCAAAAACCCTCTGCCTTCTGTGTCTTTGTCCAGACCATTCAGAGCTGCCACCCAAGTCTCATAGCACCAGTCCCTCGCTGATCCTCCTGCAGGTGGTGGGTCCATGGAAGATGGCTTCTCTGTCCTCGACGAGATGGCCTTTGGTCTTTCAGCGGGGGCTTCAGGCAATGTGGGGTTAAGTGTCTTGCCCAGGGACACAATTGATAGATGATTTTAATTCATATATTTATTTATTTATAAAAACACAAAATAAAAAAATTCTTTGTCAGAGGTTTTTATTTAAATAAGTCTGATTGTTTTTCCATTTTCAATTTACACTCGACTCTGTTCTATTCAATATGAAATTGTATACGGCGTAGTTGCGCAACATAATAAAAATGACACATTTCAGAATGGAAAGATCCGGCCTCGAGTGAATAAGAATCAAACAGATGGCTCAGTGCCTTGAGTTATATAATCCTCTGCTTCTTTGCTCCTTATCTTAGCAGAATACTGAGTTTAAACAGAATTATCATAAATGCTGACAGGATATGAGCTTTGACTCTACCACTGCCTGATTATTTCATTTGTGTCCTGACTTTAATGGTTTAAATGGAGACTGCATCTTTGTGCAACCAGACAATTCTAAAGTATTTTTTCATTTTCAAACTAATTCACACCAATACATAGTGTTGCAATTATGATTTTGCTTCCAAACCACACTACATTATTGAATGTTTGCTCTCCTGTGGACTAGTCAAAAATAAAAAACTTTCTTTGCAATCAAACACAAATAAATTTGAGTATGTAACTAGAACATGGAATATATTCTTTCCCCAAAACGTTGGCCATAATCTTGTACAGTAACAAACTTAAGTCACATTGGAGAAGAAAAGCCAAAGATAAGTATTCATATCATTATCACAAGCACCAGTTAAAGATTTTGGAATGAGTAAAAGCGCTGGTTTAATTAAATGTCTTTGTTTGTCTATTTATACAGTATAAACCATTCTCAAAAAAACAGTAATGTATCACAACTTTCTCTTAAAACTGTCATTAAATAATGTAAGAAATTATTTTTGCTGTCGAACTTCATCCAGACACTACGCATTTGAAACAAGCGTCTTTTCCAATAAAATAATTGAGATGGATGAGTTGGAAATGTAGCAGAAATGACCCATTAGTTCAGCTTGACATTTGATTTCAGTGGAAGATTCTGTGGCTCAGGCTTCTCTTTGGACAATGCTCAGTTTAGGTAACGTGTTTTTACTGCTTAAGACTTAGGTGGTTATCGGAATACATCAATAAATTATCAATACAATAATATTGACAAACAATATTTTCATTTTCCATGTTTCACTGTGTATGATCTGGATTACTGTCTTAGGAATGGAACCTTGTGCCTCTTGTCTGAGGTCTTCCTTTAGTTACTTTAGCGTCTGACATCTGCAAATGTTACACCAAGTTCACAGCATGTCATTATTATCTTTTGTTTTAGCAGAACACTTTTGGTTTGTTTTGTCTTCATTTTATCTCAGAAGATGACTGATGAGATCCTGCTGTGTCACATGACAGACACATGTCTCTTTCTGCTCAAAATATGAAAAAAGGGATAAATAGTAGTTTGAAACCTCTCCTTATGTCTCTGAATAACACTTTCCAAACACTTTCATAAATACAGCTAAAGCGGAATTCAGGCTGGAAGATTGGAGAGACTTTGTGCCTCTGAGTCCTCCCTCTCCAAACACCTGCGCCTGAGCTCATCAGCCACAGCCGCACAGTCGCACACCTGTGCTCATCACCATCAATCACCACTGCATTCAAACTGAGCCTCTCAGTTCTCTGCAGCTTCCATCTGCTGTTTGTGCAGCAACCCACCTCCTCCCTGTCGCAGCCTTTTCAGTGGAGTAACGTAATGTTATTGGTTCAGTTTCCTTCGCCACCAGGGTCTAGGTTTGCAAGCTCAATATATCTACTTCTATACCAAGTCTTAATGAACATTTCAAGTTCAAATTCAATAAATCTATTCGTTCTTCATCATACGTCTGCCAGTCTATTAATGTAAAATATATTGGACATATTCATGCAAATATGCTAATGAATATATTTCTAATCTAATCTTTGTCTTGAGTCTTTTCAGATTGAATAGTTTGTGATGTGTTTTTCTGATGCACACTGGGGATTTTTGCACGTGTATTCCAATGTGGTTTTACTTTAAAATGTATTATTGTATTATATTGATATTTGAACTCCTCCACATTAGCCCTTACCAATGTGACTTTTTTTTTTCTCTTTGACACAAGATTTCATTTGTCTCCTCAGATCACCACGACACAGCGGCAGTGGAGCAGCCGGAGCGACCCAGCGTCACACAGATACAGGCCGCGACGGAGGAAGAGGAAGAGGAGGAGGAGGAAGAGCAAAAGAGCATCTCCACACACAACATGAAGGGAAGCACAGACGAGCTCAGCCGAAACTGAAGCCTCCACCTTCGAGCCGGGATACAGGGGCGCGGAAATGGATCCAAATCTAAGGAATTTGTGTCTGAGTAAAGGATTGAAACGGAAGGTTGTGACGTGGGTGAAATGTAACATGTAAAGTGACCTACAAATGGGTCGAGAACAGACAAGTTATGTCTTTATGAGGAGGTGTGGAGTGACGCACGGACAGGCCATGCTTCTTAGCCTCTAAATAATACCCTTGTTTTTAGTCTCAATAGAGAGCTCAAGGTCAGGTCCCAAGATGAAAGCATTAAAAAGTCAAACACGTACACATTTATTCTGAATTTTGCGGATTCCTTTTTTAAAACTTGTATATAGTAAACAAATGTAAGGGGGCATTAAGTAACTTTTCTGCTGGGGGGAGGGGAGTCCTGTCATTTACCATCTGCATGTTATGCCTGGAATATTCAGTAGTAAATCCAACGGCTGTTTTGAACTATTTAGATTTATTTCATGAGATTGCAATTTTTGGTGTGTTTTGAAAGTAGTCTGTACCCCAACTTATTTTTTGTTAGTTTAATGCCATACTAAGAAACATTTAAAGCAAAGCAGTAACTTTTCCATGGCCATAAGCAGATGGTTCCATCAGAAAAGTTGCATAATGCACTTTTGAATTATTGGGGGTGAATTATTTTCTGCGTTTTTCTGTTTTTTAGGTGCATTTCTAACTTTGTCGTTTGGCTCGTAGATTTACAGGTCTACGCTGACATCTTGTGGCCAATATTTAGAATTACAATTGCAGGTCTCATGAAACTGAACTAACATTATTAATTCAGCTCATTACATTAACTATGAGTTTGTATGGTTGACTTGCCCACGTTTCTATCGCTCATAAACTGCCCATGTTTAGAATATTTTGAACCCAAAATACATTGCAATTAAGTTAATTCATATGGTATTCGCAGCTAACTTTATGCTTGTCTAGCTTTAACCTATATTTTACATTGGCATTTTACTTTTTAATATTATGAAATGTTTTTTACTACATGAACAATCAGATCAGTCTTGTAGAACATGGTTAAAATGTTTCAATAATTTCGATAAGTTTGATTTTCAAACAAAGCAGGTCTATTTCATGCAACCAAATTTGGTGGGCTTACTAATAAATGCTGCATGATTTTATTACAACAATTTCACAATCTCTTCACACTATTTGGGACCAAATGGGACATCACTCAGGTCTGAACACAAAAATAGCAAGTAAAGAGTGAATTATTCTAAATATATAATTGTGTGTGGCTTAGACCAAAAAATGGGTCCATGAACCAGTAAATTAAAATGGAAATTGAAGTAAGACTACCTTTCTATATATAATCCAAAATATACTTTGTGCTGAGCTTTGAAATCCATCAATGGATACAGCCTGATATACAAATTGACTTTCCCCTTTTATAACTGGACTATTTTCTATGGCTCTTTATAGCATGAAGCGTGTGTCATAAATTTGTCATGTAAGAAGTATTTTTCTATTTTGAAGGTTGCTGTACGAGTTTGTCTTCTCTGTCCTGTAGTTTTTGTGCATCAAGTGGGAATTGAACTTTTTTTTTTTTTCTTTAATCACATATTTAGATTTTGTGTTCATTGGAGGTTGAGTGATTTTGCAAATAGTGTTTGTGATATAAACGGAAGACAGATTGAGCTCCTATGCCCCCTGTCTCTCCTCATCGGTCAAAAGCAACCACCACAGGAACATCATGTATGAAATTTTATTTTATTTTTCCATTTTCTGGTTTCTTAATGTTTTTTGGTTGCTTTTAGACAACAATTAAAAATAAACTGCTTCATCAATTAATCTCCAACTTTGTCATTCTTGTTAATATGACTTTTCAAAAATAGTTCTAATACAATGTCTTCTTGAACTGACAGTAAATTGACTTAAAAGTCAAAGTAGAAGAAAAAAAAACCTTGACATTAATAAGCTATGTAAATGTGTATACGTGAAACATTCTGCAAGGTCTATTTATGGTATCCATTGATCATCATTCAAATTTAAAATTTAAATTGGAAAAGACTTGTCATTTCTGGCATGCAGTCTTCAAAGCCAGGGTCCAGTCGTGTGGCCGTGATGTGCTGGCAAAGTAGGAACAGGAAGTAAAGGGTACTTATTTTCTTGTGCTGCGGTTGCTCTTGGAAGCGCGTGATGTTTTTGTGAAGTTGTTAGTTTTTGATTGAACTGACCTAATCGATACTGTAATCGACACAAATATAGTAAACACTCAGCCAGTTTAGAGAATTCTTTGAAACAACATTCCAGTGATAGTCTTATTTGTTTCTTGTGAGTTTAATGTTAAAAAGACACCTTCAAAATCGGTTATACTAAAATTCTGGGTGAAATAAAAGTCAAAACAAGTCAAATCAATGAATTTATGTATCGCCCACATACACAAGAGCAGTCGTCTTAAAGTTGTTAGAAGACAGATGATTGTTTACTCTGTCTAATACGATTAGAAACAACCAAATTATGAAATCAAACAATCAAATAAAACGTTAATTGTTCAATGAAGATAAATCAACCAAGTTGCTAGCATTAAGATAATTTAGATGTGTGGAGCATCAAGCAATATATTTAGTCTGGAATATGTACAAATAAAATATTTGTATTGGTATTCATATACGCATTCCCTTTTGCTTTGTGTTATTTACTGTATTTTTGTTAGATTCTGTGCGCTTGTCAGTGATTATTCTGTTATAGAACTGTCTTGTCGCTTTTGTATCTTTGATTGGCCGAAACCCTCGTCTCCCGGAAGCCAGCACGGCGATGTCTGTATGTCCATAAAATTCACATTATTAACATGTCCTGGGGCTTTTCATACTCTCCTGCTCGTGTCCATTATCGGATCTCCTTTCCGGATCAATTAATTTAAGGTACAAGGCTAATTAATTTTGTTTTGCCTGTGATTTTTTACCCTGCTAGCATGTGTGCTTCAAATTCATTGGTTAGTTAGCCCCCGAGCTAACTGGGGCAACTTGCTAATAATAACAGCTGACTAGTTGAGCAAGAAGCATGTTTTACTGTTCCAAAGATATACGGGTTGATTACAGGATAATGTCCATGGAAATCATTGTTTATTTGATCTACATTGTGATATTATATCCTCCCAAAGCATTTAGAGGAGTGGTAATATTCAGCATTTCTTCTATCAACCCACTTTCGGTTGTCTTTGACTGATTCTTTGCATCGAAAACAAGAAAACAGAAAACGGACATCTATTGTATTTTCAATGTTGCCCCAAATTAATACTTTAAATATGTATGTTTTGGTATGTGTTGTCGTTTTCAGGTTATTAAATGTGATGTTGGGTTTGTGGATTTCTATGGTTCTGTCACGGGATCACAGTAGAAGAGATATAAGTTTTATGCTGGTTGAGTGTTTTGCCTTCAGTGTGACTTTTGTAGACACTAACTTTGATAAATTGTTTGATTCTGCACATGTCTCACGAGCAGACGAATTGGTAAAAACCACAGATTTCTCAGACAGATTAATCAGATTATACCTCAATGAATAAGAGGAAAGCATCAAGGCCACTGCACTGTTTTCCCAGTGAATTTAATTATTATTATTTCATGGATTCCAAAATGTCGTTTAGAATGGGTTTACTTGAACTCACCCTACCAAACTATTGCTTCCTGTTTTAATGTCTGTGTCATGTCCTCATTATCTGTAATTGCTATCATAAAATGACTGGAGTTTTTCTGCATAACTTTACTATTATATGAAAAACGGTGCCATTTATTCATCAAAATTAATGTAGATGATTTTGTGTTGTTAAATTCTGTCTTTTAATATTACTGCAGAAATAATGTTAGAAAATGAATTGTGAGCTGCAACCCCATTTTTCCATAATGTACCCAATTCGAGGTTTTAAAATATAATTGCTCCAAAGAGTTATGTGGTCGAATTTGTAGCTCATGTGGCAAAATGTGAAGGTCATGACACAGCTTATTTTTTACTGTAGCTCTACTACTTCATTCCTTATTCTAGTTTACTTTGTGGACTAAAATTAGTTATGAATTCCCTTTTTCGAATCATTCTGAGGTGACGCAATAATGTCTTTGCCGCCTCCATGTATCGTTCAAACAATAAGTCTGACTGTGTAGTAATTATTGTTAATATTGGTTTGTTTTTGCTGATTAATTCATGTACAATATTACATCTACACATTAATTAGTGAACTTTCTTAAAACTTACTTTTCAGAACAGATCTATTGGTGGACTAAAAAGTAAAAAAAACTATAACAAGCTTCAACTGTACTTGAATTTCATAATAATAATTCATAAAATTACTGAATTGAGAGTTTGATCTGGCGTGAAGCTTTAGTTACCAATATCCTCAACAACTCCTGATTTTTGCAGTTTACCTGTAGACGATAAACAGTTGACTAATACTAATTTTGCTTGGTTGCTTCATCTGGTCTTAGTCAAACTGCTAACAATCAGCAGTCTTAATAAACTTGTGTGTCGTGTTGTGTGTGTTCCAGTGGTACCCGAGCGCAGACATGCCCCTCGGAGAGTTCCGGGAGTCGGGGAGCCTCCCGGCCATCGCCTCCCTGAACGCCTCCTACTCCACCTCCCTGTCCATCCCGTCTCCGTACGTGTTTGTGCCGCCGTCAGAACGCAAGGCCATCTCCGACGTCCGCCGCACCTTCTGCCTCTTCGTGACGTTCGACCTGCTCTTCGTCACCATGCTCTGGATCATAGAGCTCAATGTGAGGACCAGTTGTTTAATAAAGCTGGGGCACCTAACTTTCAAACCTCAAATAAATATATATGATAAAGTCCATGTGGGCTAACAGTTACCCACCCTCAAAATAGTTTGGTTCTGTCACTTGTTTTCACATGTATGTATTTGTTTAGCCTCTGTTCCATCTTTAGACCAACTTTTTAAGACTGAAAACTGAAAGAGAGGACCACCCTCACTCAGCCAATCAGTTCTCAGCCCAAATAGTCATTAAGTGTGACTGATGGGGCTCTGTTTGAGCGCTGTAGAAAGTTACTGGGCAGTGTGACTGATAAAGACAATGAAGTTTATGGGTATCCTAAAATTTTAATATATCCTTATTTTATAGTGGAGGAAAATGTACACACAAAAAAGTAGCAATACAAGTAATGCTCTTTGTACTGCCAATGTCACTTTTTTGTTGTACTGTTTTTCACATTTCCTGTCTATTTGCACACCCTGAGTGAGGCCAAATATAACATTTAAATCTCCCCACTGTGAGATCAATAAAGTCTCATCTTATCTAACTAGAACTGCTTCCCAGACCTACACTAGTGGTCCAAAATCATGGATTACACTTAACTGACATATTAACTAGTTTGTAAATGTTGTGATTTCTTTATTATTATTATAATAAATTTTTTCAGTCTGAATGGTTCATGGTTTGAACGCGGTTTGTTGTCTCTTTACTTTGCAGTACGCCAACAACAACATCTGGGACCGTTTGGACTTTGAGGTCGTACATTATGAGTTTGAAACTTCCTTCTTTGACATAACTGTAAGTAGAGATTTACTACGCCGATGTCACTATTCACTAAATACATTCAGATACATGTTTGTTTATGATATAAATAAATTCCGTCAGATATGTTTAATTGTAAATTAAACATCATCCTACCAGCCCTTAACAAACAAGTGACATAAGGAGTAAATGAATCCGCTCTGCAAGTTTCAGTTGCATTTTCTTTTTCGTTTCTGCTCAAAATTAGCCAACAGGAGAAACATCTTTGCGGTTTTCAAACTCTGTAACCGCGTGGTTCTGTTTGTGTCTTTGCCTGTCTCAGCTCCTCGCTCTGTTTCGCTTCCTGTGTCTTCAATTGGGCTACGCTGCCTTCAAGCTCCGGCACTGGTGGATGATCGCCGTAAGAACAGTCACATGACCTATCACCAATATCACAACTGTATCTACACAGTACATTTAGTTTACTATCAACTTTTGTTTTAGGTAACCACTCTAGTGACCAGTGCCTTCCTCGTCGCCAAAGTGGTCAGAATGTCTCATGTAAGTTGCACTTCTTAGTTTCAGTCGTGACGTAACAGCATTTTCTGGCCTTTATTTAGAAAACTACAAAATCAGCTTTATTCAGGGTGTTCTCTGGATTATATTAAATCATGAGGCACCAGAATTCTTTCCAAAATGTTGAGATAAAATGGACAAAAAGTTGGAGCTCTGGAACTTTTTCATAGATGAAACCCTACTGAAATCAATAGTGGAAATAACTAAAATAAACAAGAGATAATTGTTGCTTTATAGAAAGTCTTTCGGATTCAGAAGTTCATCAAACACAAGTTACAGTTGATACAAATGAATAGATCAAAGAAGAAATTATGTAGATACATAATATGAATGGATGACTGAAGAGTTGTCTTGTGGAGGATGTTTTTTCAGATTGAATTAGTCTTATTTAATTAAGATTAAGAGATCCTTGATTCGTCTCACAGCGGGGGAAAAATTAAAATTCGCTAATTTGCCTATTTTGCACATTATTTAACTACATGTTGTTATTTGCTAACCTCTCAATTCCTTTTGGAAACGTGCCGTGCAAGCAGATTTATATGTTGGACAAACATGTTGACAGATTTTAATATAAAGAGATACAGAAAAGTACTCATTTTTAAGTAAGATGGTTTTATCCGTCACCATACCTTGAGGATTCATGAAGTTTGACAAGAGGCTAGTATTTGCTTGAAATGATTAATTCCTGATTTAATTGAAGAATATTTTCTGTGTGGTCTCTGCCTCTAACATGATGGTTTAACACCATCCTGATATGATGGGAAAGAAGCAGTGACATGGTTGAGGAGTGTTTGTCTATTTTAAAGACAGTTTGAACTTTGGGAACTCCTGCACTTCCTGTTCAATAACCGTCTACTCTGATACTGGTTATTTTTCCCTTTTGTTTATTAAATTGGTTTGAGCAAGATTCTGATTTATTCATATTCCAATTCAAATGATTAGCTATCGCACTCACTGACGTTGGCCCTGATAACTCTCCATCCGTCCACTGCACCGCTCTGGGTCGCAAAGACGGCAGTTTGTGCAGAGATGCTCAGACTTCCCCCTCCACGCGCCACTTCCTCCAGCTGCTCACAACCCAAAGGTCACGACCGTAGGTGAGGGCGGGATTATAGACTGAGAAGTAACGAGAAAGTGCAACAGTCCACATGCTGCACCGATCCGTCCTGGCCCTGTACATTTACTGTAACTATACTTCCTCTCCAAACAACAACAGGTTCTCTATCTCTCAAAACGGGTTCTATAACTACATCACATGCATGTACGGTATTTTTTGGCCTTACCTAAAAAAGTAGAGAACCACCCTCACTCACAAGAGAGAACAATTTCAGATAAGATAAATCAGACCACCACACACTGTCTCTATCACAAAATGCTCCTTAAAAATTACTTTCTGTTGGGACAATCACAAACTATTTATGGAGCAAAAATAAGTTGGGCCTCCTCAAGATTTTAAATAAGATGTTTAGGGTTTAGAGTTTAGGTCAGGGGTGTCCATACTTTTTAGTAAGAGGGCCGCTTTAGTTCACCAGACTAGTCCAGGCGCCGACATCACAGACTGAAAAACGGTCTTGACTGGCATCGGCCTGTTTTGAGCTTTATGATGATCTATAACAGAGCTGAAGTTGGCTGAATGACAAATGTTCACCTTCTCACATTCAAAAACATTTATGAACATTGGTCATCTGCCCCTTCTGGACCAATGGCTTTTTGTGTTCATTCTTTAATCACTTTCTTGTGTTTTGAACTTGTACGAATAAGAATAAATTGAATTCTTCCCCTACTTCTTGAATTCCCTCAAACGACCTGCGTCTTTGTCTTCTGGCAGCTCATGTCGGATAATGCGTTTGGCTACGTGCTTCCCGTCACCTCCTTCGTGCTGGCCTGGTTAGAGACCTGGTTCCTGGACTTTAAGGTTATCACTCAAGAGGCCGACGATGAACGAGGTGAGATATTTTTTTGTTTAAATGCTAGATTTTTTTAAGAACAGACAAAGCATTTCTCCTTTTCACCTTCACTCCTCTGCTCGTCCATTTGTCAGCGTACTTGGCAGCGGTGAATGCGGCGTGCGAGCGGGCCCCCATGATCTACCCCCAAGCCATTTCCGAGGGCGGCCAGTTCTACTCCCCGCCCGAGTCTCTGGCAGGTACGAACTCACGGGGCAAATATGAGCTGTGATTAAAAAACGTCTCTCGTGTTTTTTGACAGCTGTTATTAATGACGCTAGAGATTTACAACTTCACTTCATGCGCTATAGTAAAGGGATCCAGAGCCTAACTTGCACTTACAGTATGTGACCTAGAATATTTCCATAGATTGACGACTGTGTTTTTCGCAACAAGAAAATCTAGTTTGATTTAACAATATTTCTTAGTTTGTCAATGAGGCGATCTATCTTAAAGCTGGGGTACCTAACTCTGAAACCACAACAAATGTAACTATATCAATCCAATCTATTCAACGTGTTCTCTTCACTCAAAACAGTTTGCTTTCATCACTAATTTTAACACACATGCATTTGTTTGGCCTCTGTCACATGTTTTAGACCAGCTTTTTTTTTCAAAAAAGTGAAAAAGAGAGGACCAGCCTCACTCAGCCAATCCTCTCTCAGCACAAAGCATCAAAAAGTGACTCTCAGGGCTCTTTCTTACAAGCATGCAAAAGCAGATACGTTTTCTACTAAAAATGGACTATGTGTTAACGTATGAAGTAGCCAAAAAGTGTTGAAATCCTGAGTTGTATGATTCGCTGTTTAGCGCCGGCTGAGAGCGCTTGTTCTAAAGCAGTTTGAACATTTGCCTCAGGCTCAGAGGAGGACCTGGATGAGGAAGGACTGGGACGCAGAGCCGTTACAGCACAGGTACTTCTACTGTTCTGGAAATACTAGTGTTCAAATACTTTGTTTTTCACTGACTCGTGTGACTGGTGCAGGAGAAGGAGTTTGTGCGGCAGGGACGAGAGGCGCTGTCGGTGGTGGAGCAGATTCTCTCTCAGGAGGAAAACTGGAAGTTTGAAAAGAACAATGTGAGTCTAATATTTAGGTTTAATGTTGTATGTTTATGTAAACAAGGAAATAAAAGATCATATTACATTGGTTTCACTTTCAATGAATCTCTTTGATATTTCATGTTGTTTTCAGGACATGGGTGACTCTGTTTACACACTGGAGATTCCCTTCCATGGAAAGACTTTTATACTGAAGGTACAATGTTCTCAACAATTAGATATTAGTGAGACAAACTTTTCACCTCTTGATACTGATACTATTGTACGTAAATCGGTTAGATTAACTTTCTCCAATACAATCATACGGTACATTGTTTGTCGCTACAAAAATGACAAAGTAAGTGAAGTATTGGTGGAATTGGGTTAAATGTATCTTTTATTTTAGTACATCGCCAAAGTGTACTTTAATCCAGATAAAACATACTTGATTCAAACATACTTTTATAAATCCTTATTTTGGATCCGTTTTCACACGGTACTTACTTTATAATTCTGGACGTTGTTGTTGCTCAATACGTGGTTCGCTCTTAATACCTTACTTTGCATGTTTTTGTGGCAGTTCAAATGTTATGACCTTGTTTACAGCTAAATGTCGCAAGCAACTGTACCTTCCATCAAACACAGACTACTCTTTTTTTTTCATAGTAGATTAAAAAAATGCCACTTTTTAAATTGCTTTTAAAGTTTTTACATAATTGCCAAAGAAAGAACTTTCTCAGAACTGTATACAGGTCATATAGCCGTCACACACATTGGTGTTTATGTTTAGTGCTGGAGGCGCTCAGCTCTTCCTGTTCCTGTCATGAAGTGGGTTATATATGGAGGGATTTTCCACGAATGCAAAGGTGGTAAATTTGCGTGTGAACAGAATTAAGCATGGCCATAACTATTCGTTGTTGTCCCACAGTCTTTAGTCCGTCAAACTGAAAAATAAAATCTATTAAAGGAGCTCAGCGCAGTCCATAGACACAGATTTATAATTTTACTAAAACCTAATACATTTTTTGAATAAATATTTCTTGTTTATTTCCAAGGCTTTTATGCAGTGTTCGGCAGAGCTGGTTTACCAGGAGGTGATATTACAACCGGAGAAGATGGTTCACTGGAACAAGACCGTGTCAGGCTGCCAGGTAACCTTATTATCACCACACTTTTATACTTCTTTTGTTGAATTGAATTTTTAGTAACATTTTTTTCATTCTAGATATTGCAAAGAGTGGATGACAACACTCTCGTATCGTGGGATGTCTCAGCCGGAGCAGCAGGGGGCGTTGTTTCTGCGAGGTACAAGGGTCTCATTGTTTAGTTCAAACCTTAACTCATTGCCTGCCATTGACGTAATTGTCCGAGGCCGGTGATTTCTGTCAAACTTCTCTCTATTCGACTTGGGATTGCATGAGAACAAAACTAGCAAGAAACAAAAATTTTTTTGCTCATGAAAGTGGACAGTCCAGTCTTTCAGAATCTGGTTCCATATTTCACATAGTCACAGCACACAATATTCTGTGGGTCTTGAAAATCAGTGAAATCATCAAAAACGGCTGGCAATCAATGAGTTAATGAACCGTACTGGGAGTGGGAGTCATTTCTTTAAAGATTCTAAAGACCTAGAAAGAATAGTTTCTTACTCAGTGCAGCTCTTGAGGTTACAAAGTGATGCGTTCAGGGCAGGACACACTTCGTGGCAATATCCGGATTGAAGATGCACATCTTTGTAACAGAAATTATTTTTAAGTGAAAATCCTCATTGATCTGTTGACACCTGTGTTCAGGCTGAAAAGCTGCCTCCATGTTCACAGGACAATTTTATTCTGATGCTTAGAGAATTCTGAACATTCCATTCTAGTGTAGGGGTGTGAAACTGGTCCATGTGGCTGCAGGTTATAATTCCAACCAAGCAGGAGCACAACAGACTCCACCCATTTCCTCAAACGAGTCCAGTAGGCAAGGCAAGTTTATTTGTATAGCACAGTGTCTCCCAAAGTGGGGTCCGCGGCCCCCTGGTGGGCCGCGAGGGTACTGCAGGGGGGCCGCGGGAGGTCATAAAATATATATATATATATATATAATTATTTAATGTTAAATTTATAATGTTTTGTTTGTAATATTAAAATATTTGTGTTCATTATTTGACTTGAATAATCCACTGTAATCATTTTTGTATTACAATGTTTGTAGCAGAGGCTATTTCCCCAAAATAAAATAACCAGAAGAGCCTATTCTTAATGTTGTCTTCTTGGTTATTATTTTGGGGGGCCACGCAGGCCCTTCAGATTTTTAAGGGGGCCTCGGTGTTACTGAGTTTGGGAATGGCTGGTATAGCACAATTCATACACAAGGCAACTCAAAGTGCTGAACAAAACAAGAAAGCATTAAAATAATCACAGTACATTAAAAAGAAAGATAAAAATATAAAATCCCTCAGTTGTATGCACAGCTAAACAGAACCGTTTTTAACCTGGTTTTAAACATTGTCAGAGAGGAGGCCTGTCTCACATCTTCAGGAAGACTGTTCAAGATTTTAGCAGCATGAATCTGAAAAGCAGCCTCCCCATGTTTAGTTCTGACTCTGGGCACTAACAGGAGTCCAGTCCCTGTGCTCCTCAGAGTCCGGGCTGGTTCATATGGGACTAACATGTCACTAATATATTTTGGTGCGAGGCCATGGAGAGACTTGTAACTAGCAGAGCTGTTTTAAAGTCTATTCTCTGAGCCACAGGAAGCCAGTGCAGAGTAAAGGTAAAGGTGCACTTTATCTATCCCCGTACGGCAATTCATCCTCTGTATTTGATTCATCCTGATGTCGCCAACAGTCGAGGTGGTACAAAAAAAGTACGCAAACCCCGATCCCAACTCTAGTGGAAATGCAAAATAACCGTGCCGTACCGTATCGTTTTTTGGAAAAGTGGCATATGGCTTCCGTCAGGACTGAAAAAAACTCATCTTTATAAAAATAGCTTTAAAGGCTTTGTCTCTAAGCACAGTGAAACTGACAATTACTACTTTGATCGTGGTAGCCTGGTCTTACCATACCATATCGTACTCATTTCAGTACATGTAGAGAAATGATAACTGACCTGAGTTTACGGATGGCTAAGGCCATTTACAAATTGTCACCTTTTTCATTAGACACTTCAAGTTTTGTGTCTTCTCCTTTTAGGGACTTTGTAAACGTGCGGAGAATCGAGCGCAGGAAAGACTGCTACCTGTCTGCTGGCATGGCAACCGAGCACGACGCCAAACTCCCCAGCGCCCGCTTCGTCCGGTCAGAACTTTAACTTTGTGCTTAAGGTTATCTGTTTCTTGTTCTGTTCCTTTTGATGACGTCAGCTGCTTTTGTTTCTCTCAGAGGAGAAAACGGTCCTGGTGGGTTTGTGGTCCTGAAGTCCAGCAGTAACCCGTCCGTCTGCACCTTTATTTGGGTTCTCAACACAGACCTCAAGGTGGGAACCAGACAGGAATAAGAACCTATTCTATATGTGTACTTTTATTTAAAATGCACTTATTCAGCACGCAACACGTTCTTTCCATAACCAACTAACAATAATTGACTTATTATATTGTTATTGTCCAGTTAAAGTATGCTCCCGTTGATTTGGCATCTCGCACAAAACGCAATTAGTAATCATTAATAATAAAACATCTGTAAATCGCTCCTTGGTTCAGTTCGGTTTTCAATCCAAGCAAGTCCATTTTAATTCAAACCCATTTCCAATTCAAGTTTTGTTTTCAAAATTCCCCATATTGTTAAAAGGAAATGCCAAAAAAGGACCAATGATGCAAAAGATGAGAAATAAAAAAAGGTTCCACAAATATTATACTGGATATTTTGTTATGATATTGTTTAGGTATTGACCTCTGATAACTTGCGGGTGAAATTGACCCTCTGGCAGTTGTCAAACTTGTAAAAGAGTCTGACTCAGCCGCAAAAACATCATGAGGATTTAGGTTAGCCTGACCTCTACTGGCAGCCGGGTGAATTACAATCCATATACAAGAGTTATGTACGATCATATAGATCAGGGTGATACAGAGGCTTGCAGTTGTAATTAATGCAATTGATGACAGAAAGCTAATTTATGGACATTTGTTTTGGCAAAAGAAATAAGTGTTTTTCTCTCCATGTTTCTATGTTTCAAGACTGTTTTTAGAATATTAAATTGTGAGGTTGTTGGCAATTGTCAGCCTTATAAACCACCAACCACTACTAATAATAGTGTCTTACAACTTTTCAATAGTGAAAAATCCAATTAATTTTGTTTGTTTCCAGGGCCGACTTCCACGCTACCTCATCCACCAGAGCTTAGCAGCGACCATGTTTGAATTCATGAGTCATTTACGTCTGCGCATCATTGAGATCCGGGGCTCGGGGCGGTCCCATCACCACCAGCATCCTTAACTGTGGACCACTGCCCCCACTGCCACTACAGCGGCAAACCAGGGACCTCTTCAACTTTATTTTGTTGTATTTTAGACATCATAGACAAGAATCTACTGATATCAATGAACTGCAACTAACTTTCTTCTGGCAGAAGGAAATTTTTTGGACCATTCTAACTGAGCTTTTCCTGAGCTTTTTCATGTGTCAAAATGGAAGAAGACGGTTCAAAGACGAGAAGAGACGACGGCGTGACTGAGAAATGTTTTACAAAACTCTTTCTGAGCCTTAACTTGCAGCAATCATGTAAATCCACGATTGATTTGCTGATCTTCTGGATAGCTTGCCTTAACAGTTGTTCATATATTTGTGCAGTGCAACGATCACAAGAGGGAAGTATCACTTTATATAGAAATGCATATGAGAGTAAAAAAAGCAACCAATTCTATCCAAAGGGCTTATTCAAAAACATTAACTTATTCACATAGGGAGCACCAATTCACCTGACAATTAGTATGCATTGTCATTGTCAACTCTGGTTATTTGTGATGCTATTTTTGGACCAGAACATATGAACTCTGATTTTGTGTCCGTGACCTCTAGTGGCCTATGCAGTTAAACAACCAAGTTGTTATTGCTGCTTTAGGGAATAGTTCTATTGTGGCCTTGTCCGCAGGCTCACAATGTGGTTTCCCTCGTCGGTTTTGTGTTTGTTATTGCATTTTGAAGCATGTTTAATTCACTCAAAGTTCAAGACTGTTTTGTAACAAGATAAAAATATGTCTAACAAACAAGGCTTAAAGTGATAACACTGTACGTCCCATAGATTAGGCTCTCAGTGACCTTTTCAACTATCTATTTGTAATTTTCCAAGTCATAGGCATCATTTTCACCATTCAGATTTTGCGTTTGGTTTGACTTGTTCTTTAGTTTTTCCTTTTCTGCCATATCGCAAATGTTATGACCTTGTTTACAGGTAAATGTCACAAGCAACTGTACCTTCCATCAAACACAAACTACATGTATTTTTTTCATACAAAATGCCACTTTTTAAAGCTATCGTGCAGCCGTCATTCCATCTCAAAAGTCTGACGTGATTGTTAAATAACTTGAAGTCTTGAGATGAGTAAGAAATGTGTCTGACGTCTCTAAACTCAAACTAAAATGCAGTTTCTTTTTAACTCAGTCTTTCGAAAGCGCTCAACTTGTCATTGGCAAAATCTAGCCGCCATTTTGTTTCTTGTGTGCACCTAATAAGCCAAAACAATACAAGCACGCAACCTCATACACACAATATGGCATCAAACCAAACCAGATGTGTCTTGAGTTCAAAGCAGACAAAAATATTTCAGATTCTTAAGTGAAATTGTGGATACTAGTTTTAAGGAAGATTTGATTTTAGTTTCAGGAGATGCATAGACTACAGACCGCATCTTTTATAAACAAACTATGTAATATAACAAACTAGCCTAATAATTTACAAATGTAGCTGCCTTGCTGGAAACAATAATGGTGGGTAAACTCTGAGCTAAGTGGTGTGACCGTTCTTCCTTGTGCTTCCATTTAAACTCAGATGAAAGCTGCTGTGTCAAATGCAATCGAGCAGAACGGTGCAATTTTACGACTTTGAATGCACACAACACCATTATCAACTTTGGATTCTTTTTTTTTTTCTATATACTGTTTTTAAATATATTTTGCTGTATAGTTTGCATTATGGTGCCATCCAAAATGGTTCTTTTTTCAATGTTTTTGTTGTTGAGAAATCTCTGTGAAACTTGAGTATCGTGTTCATGTTTTATATATAGTTTACACTGTAATTTCATCAAACTTAACACGAAGCCATCTCACGACCAAATGTTCAAGTCTTAAGTATTTTCTTATATCAATTAAACTCTCAGACTCCATGTACTATTCCAATTATTGTGTCCAAGTCCTTTAACATTGTTTTAAAGCTGGGGAACCTAAAAGTTAGCAAAATGTTTTCTAATAACGTGAATACAGCCTGTTCTTTTCCCCACATGACTCTGTATATTTGTTTTTTTTTTACAATAAAATATTTCTCGGCTATAGCTGCTGTGCCATGAAGCGCGTGGCTCTTAAGCAGTGATATGTAGGAGAAACCGGAGCACCTGAATGAAACCTCCACAGACACAGGAAGAACATGCAAACCCCACCCAGAAGGGCCCCACGTCGAGTTGAACCGAGGACCGTCTTCTGACTCCGTGTGCCTTTTGCATAATTATTAAGTCTGAGTTGACAATACGACTGAATGTGTGCGTATCTGCTCTTCACTGTGATACATGAATAATATTGTGCTGAAAGTGTTCCTTCTCCGAACTCTGCTCCGGTTCCATCGTCTCATGTGAATTCTAAAGTCATCATCACGCCGTAAAATCAAGATATTATGACAGAATGCATGTCCCGGACTAGGATCTGCTGGGATTTGAAATACTTGTATTGAATATTGTACTTAAAGCGGATTACTGACATAGATCTAAGTACTAAGGCGTAAAGAATCCCTATTTTTATACATCGTTACTCAAAGATCAAACTAGTCAAATGATCCCATCAGTGTGTCTTGTGAAATACTGTCCTCTAGTTGTTCCAATGTTACAAATGTCTGAAACTTCATCAATGTGTACAATTATTGCAATTAATTTTACATACAAAAGTGAAGATTGCGCGCTCTAACCTTACATATGGAAAAGTAAAAATGTTATGTTAAGATTTTTCCTTTTCTCCAAGTTTCTAACCTTGAATTTGTGTTAAATGGTGTTGTGCCAGACTATGGAGGACTTATGAGAGCCATAAAGTTTTACATTTTAACAATATTGCGTGCACAATTATGCAAATTCTTAGACAAGTCACATCTGTGTATCCAAGCGAATGTTTCTCATAATGGGGGCCTGTTTTACTCTTGGTACTTGGGCTCTTTCAGCTGATACACAAAGGTTTTATTGGTTTTTTAAAATAAATTATGATATGTTTGTTGTCAAATTGGTAGATCCAACAGTAAAAATTAATATTCTTGTCCAATTAAGAAGTAATACATTATAGCACAAGGAGTAACTTTATGGCTTGGTATCTGACTCTAATAATTGGATAAATTGTGTATGATATTTGCACATTCATGGATGTATTTTTATTTTGTTTTGTGGAGAGAGGAGCGTTTGATCTGTATGTTATTGTCATGCTAATGTTCTTGTTAGTCATAAAGAGAACCTGTAATTGTCCCACAGTGTGGAAACATCAATGTTATTTCACATTAAAGAACAGTGGGAATAAAACAGAGCTTTTATATATTTAGGACTCATTTAGATCTAGAAAAGTCCCAAATAAAGACCTGTTTTGAAATAGGGGTTTGTGGTACTGGGAAGGCCAACTATTTACTTGTGATGAACAGTATTTTCTTGATGGTAGTTTAGTCTAGTCCGACCTCTCAATGCACTTTAGTTCCTTCATTCTTTGCCTTTAAATGGGTCTAAACCAGTCCTAATCAGAACCAAACCAGGACAAGCATAAAATGTCTCTCTTTATGTCTTAAACCCACATTATCACACATTCACAGCGACCGCAGACAATGGAATTAGGCTTCTAAATGAGAGCTTCCACGGTGGAGAGATGTGTCCAATGACTCCGTTCAGCGATGGGACGTCCTGGGGGCAAAACACAAGCGCACACAGGACCACGGCCGCTCGGCTCATGTGATAAAGCTGTGACTGTCTGCTGAGGGAGTGTGGAGTCTCAAGCGGATCTTCAGTGCGTCCATTGTCCTCCATGTGAGTCCAAGAGAGGAGGACGCCATCCAGAGACCTGCAGCCGGGAACTGGGACCTGCTGTTCTGAACGTGTGAGGTCAGCCCAAGACAATGGACAGCTGCAATTAGGTTTGGTGGTGTTTTATTGTCGTTTTTTGTATGCAAATCTGCAAATGGGATGACGTGAGATGTGGGTTTTGATGGTGTGCAGTCGTGTCTGATGTGCTTGTTAGTTTTGTATCCATGCGAAGCCATTTATTTCCAAATTGTTTAATTGATAATGGCAACAGAAAGCAATCAGATGACCCTGATTAGAAGTTTCCAGTTTTTTAGAAGTTTTCCCCCTAGATTCTCAACGTATTTCCCCTTTAACATCTGTGACAGCTTGGATTCTTGGTGGAGGCTCTTACACCTCTCTGATGGTAATGCTTCTCCTTGGCAAAAAGTGAAAATTTAAATTCCAACGCTGCCTTGCATTGACTCACTGACTGCCATGGACGTAATTGGTTGAGACTGGTGATTTCTGTCAAACTTCTCTCTATTCGACTGAAGATTACAGCAGAACAAAACGAGCTAGGCACCAACATATTTTTGCTGATGAAAGTAGACGGTCCAATCTGTCAGAATCTGGTTTCATTTTTTTTCATAGTCACAGCACACAATATTCTGTGGGTCTTGAAAGTCAGTGAAATCATCAAAAACGGCTGGCAGTCAATGAGTCACAGTAACTGCATATTTGCCTTCTCCCCAGATCGGCTCAATTATGTTATTTTATTATTTGAATGTAGAAAACATGTTTATTTGGCTATAAATGGCCTCACGCTACCACTAACAATAATCTCTGGAATTTGACCAAAACAGTGTGAAAACTTTCAAAGCTGTAGTTATACGAACACCTGAATTATGCATTATAGAGTGATGATTATGTATAAATTTACTTTGTGGATCCGGATGGTTTTCAACACATTATTTTAGACTTGCCCTGATAAAAACCAGAGAGGGGTAAAAAAGTGTTGCAAGAAAAAAAGGCTTTTATTTTTTCTTCTTCAGATCTTTTCCTCTCAGTTGTCCTTTTTTAAACTTATATAAATCATTATCATGTAAAAAAAAAATAGGGCCTTATTGGAAATGCATGTGTTTGTTTCAAGTTTTGTTGAAATTGGCTTCAACATTTCAGCCCTGATGTTATGTTTGCAGTGTGTCTGGCTTCTGTGACTATTTCAAATGTGGATTGAACAAACTGTTTCTTTCAACATAGTTTTGTTTCTGGTTGTGGTTACCAGACAAGGGTTACAAGTCCTTATTAAGCTTGTTATTTTCATCTGGATATAGGCCTTGGTTGCATTTAAATTGTGTTCTGATTGAGTCCAGTGTGAATGGAGTTTGTTGGTCTGGATGTTGTCCTGGTTCTGGCAAAACAGCATTTCTGTCCTTTGAGATTTTTGCTGTTTTATCTTGGTCAATCTGTATTCATAGTTTATCCAATTTTAATAATCTTCTTTACCTGCGAGTCAAACTAAAACATTCTCCTTTAACATTCTCCCTCCTGTAGGCCTCCGGACAGTGGACCTAAATCTACGAACCTTCCAGGGAAAAAAGAAGAGTTCCATCCTGGACTCACTGACCTTCGCGAGGCCCGGTTCTTCATGTGAGGGTGCTTAAATGGGGTCTGCGTTTTCTAGATTCTGTATGCAGTTCTGTTGTTGCTGCTGCATCCCAGACGAGGAAGATGATGACGAGAAGGAGCCTCTGTTGCCGTGAGTCAAACGTTTTAGAGCTAAGGCCACAAGCTGGAACAGAGACCAGTGCAGGGCCAGACCAAACCGGAGCAGTTTCATGCTAGTTAGACCATAGACTGGTTAGACAGAGCCATTAGTAATGCAAGAACACATACATTCAAAAAACTTCATTTTGGTGTCTTAAATGTGAATGCTGGGTCAATAATAAATGCTTGCAGGACCGTACATTTCTCAGGGGCCATAGTTTGTACAGTCCTGCCATATAATAAGCAAATATGTGATTGTATTGAATATAGTGGAGTAGTCCGATGTTCATTAAAGTTCGATTACGTAGCCAAAAGAAGAAGGCATCAGCAGCAGCAGCAGCAGCAGTATCAGTAGCATCAGCAGCGTCATTAGCATCGTTAGCATCAGCAGTATCAGTTGCATACAGTTGTGAAATTCCGGGGATTATGGGTGATACACACAGCCATGCAATAATGGCCGTATCAGTAAAAGGAGTTATAAGATGTTATTTTGCCAAACCCTAATAATGTAAACATCTACTGTCCCTTTTCGGTTTGTTTTCCCGGACAGACCTGATCCGTTGGAGTACTTTAACCGAGAGGTGCAGAAGCGCAGAGATGAGGAGACGAACCTGTGGAGCACTCCGGGGGACCCCAGCCACTCCGAACGCAACGACGACCGCACACTGTACACGCTGCTGCAGGCGCGGAACCAGACACGCATGGGCTCCACGGTGAGACCCGACCCTTTTTGTATTACTTTTTTTTCTCAACAAAATTAGTATGCTTGGACTGAACTCGCCTTAGCTATTTGTAAACTCCGGTCATCATTTCCCTACATGTACGTCTGGGTCTGCTCTTAGTGGCTGGTGTTACCTCGGTCGAATCCCCTCCGACCAATCAGCTAGCCGGGCAGGCGGGTGTTGTTGGTAGAAGTAATTGACGTCGAGTTTACACAAAATTTGCCGGTTGTAGTTTGGCAATGGCAGTGAATGTGATAGTAAAGTACTCCATTCCGGTTTGGCTCCAAATAACAAGAAATTGAAGCCAAAGCAACAAGAATGTTTAGCAAAATTCATTGCTGGTAAAGATTTTGTGACTCTACTCCCCACGGGCTCTGTTAGTGGCAAAGGAGATGGCTAAAGCTTGGCTAAATGCTAAATGCCTCACTCACACGGGTGCATTACAAACGTCAAGGTAAACTCAGATCCAATTGTTTTAATCTGCAAAAGGAGTTTCCTCCCCCACCTGTTAACGGAGCTCAATGGAGCAAATCCAGACCTTAGTACGAAATGAAAAAGACTTGACTGATTGACAAATTATTATTATTTATTGCATTATGGGTTAAAAAGATAGTATTTCAATTTAATTATTTTCTTTGTTAATTTATTGTTTTAAGTGTGTTAGATTTACTAGATGTATTGATGTAACATTGCCCATATCAACCTCTTTCTTGATAATCATTTCAAGTTCTGCCTGTAACACTCTCACAGACCCCCTGTTTGGAAACACTGGTGACCTCATATCATATCTTAGGAAAGAAAGTGTAAAGCTCCAGATTATGGCTCTTAGATAGATAGAAAGCTAGATAATAGGTATAGCGTGGAAAACACTAATCAATAATTAGACCTTCCATTAAGGGGCAATGTTTTAGTACTATGCTGATTTGATTAATGTTTTCAAAATATAGAAGTTAATAAAATATTTTTTTTCTGTTTTAGGGATACAGACGTTTAAGTGTGGACATTGAAGCCATGAGAGACACACGACGAGAAGTTAGAGAAAAGTGGAAAACCATCTTGGAGAACTTAGGTAAATCAACCTGATGGAATGTGGATTAAACACAGTCTGTATTTGTTTCGTGCTAAAATACTGATGTGTTTTAATCTTTCTCCAGGCTTCATGGCAGAGGCTGACTCTCTGCTGACTGTCTCCGCCGGAGCGTCACAAGACCGGATGAGGGACGCACCCGCGGCTCGGGCCATGCTCAACATGCTGCACACAGAGACCTCCATCTTCAACAGCCAGAAGGAGCCGCCCCCAGAGAGATACCTCTTCATTATAGTGAGGGAAACACAACACATCCATCCATTTTCTTCCCTTTAATCCATTTCTGGGTTGGGGGGCTGGCGGTCAGAGCTGCACCCAGTACACAGGGCACCAGCCCCTCACTGATCCTCCTGCGGGAGGTGCGTCCACAGGAGGAGGGCTTCTTTGTCAGTGACGACACAGCCTTGATCAGTGGGGACTTCAGGCAAAGTGGGGCTAAGTGTCTTGTCCAAAACAACCTCCAGACTCAAAGGCCGATGCTCTACCAATTGAGCCACTGTCGGCCACACAATACACACATCTATCACTAACAGGGACCACAACACTGAGCTCACCTTTCTGCTTAACACCAGGACTCCCAGGAACTAATAGAACGCCCATAGCAGTCATTCCCACTCAATGTAATGGATTTCTTGAAAAAAATCCAATCTTCTCACAGATTCTATGAAAATTAAGTGATTCACACATTTTTTTAATCTTCAATACATGCTAAAATATGTCGATGTAAATGTATACAGTGACACTAAATGCTAAATGAAGTAAGTAAATTGTCTCAGCTTGGATCAACCAGCACTTGCTCCAAGCTGAGATTTCTCTGAACCAGTCTAAGACCAGTCTAGGATCGAGATGATTTCATAAACATAGTTACATAAAGATACAGCAAAACTCACAAAGTTTTGAAGACCAAAAATATAAATAAGTGGAGTTATGTGCACTTCCAAAATGAAAAGCAGTCAAATTGACGGTTCTGGGAGTTCCAGTGAAGGATTTTTGTGAGTTACAAAGCCTTAACACTTGAATGGAGAAGAGAATAAGAGAATAGTTGACATATAAGATCAATTGTTTGTATAATTAATCAGACAGTGAATTATAATTGGTGTGATTTATTGTGCTAGACGTTTTTTTCTCAAGTTTTATGGCGTTCACAGTCATCACTCACACTGATGTGGTAAACAGCGCCGTCTGCCCTGGAGTGACAAAGACACAGCTTCTATTCAGCATCTATTATTAGTCCCTCTGAGCTGAATACCAAGAGCGCTGGAGCCCTTTAATGTGGTGATGTCGCTTTGTGCCAAATGGCATTACAACAGTGTGCCATGTCCAGATCCTACCCCCAGACCACAGGTGGGGAGGGCAGCTCACGGGCTTTAAAGGTGATATATTATTACAGCTTCAATTATCTTAAGCTTTAAACCACGTTACAACATTTTTCCCTCATCTTAAACAGACCTGGAGTTGTTCATAGATTCCTCCATGCTAATATCAGGAACTTCTGGCACAAACATGTAACTCCGCCCCTTCTGTCTAAACGCTCCGTCCTGTAATAGTGTGATGTCGTTGTACCACGTGATGATGTCAGAGCAGTTTTAAAACAAAAGGATTTCCCAGTAATTAGTTTTGAAAATGTCTCAAGTGAACATTGAAAGGATATTCTTTACACTCGCATGGCTGTGTTTACCGCCAATCATACCACAAAAATTCTACTTAGTTTGCCTTATATATATAATTTCACATTCTAAAACAGGAAATGACAAAATAAATCTTATCTCATTTTGTTTTTTTAGACAAGTGAGAGCTCATTTTTCATTGGCACAACACTTTCTTTTTTCTCCAGTGACACAATAACTTCAGAGAATTCAACATTATTTTCTCAACTAAAATGTTTTTTTCTCCTGAAGCTGGGGTACCTAACAGAACACATCTAGTTCTATCCCTCAAAACAGTGTGTGATAACATATTCAAGGCAGATGTATTCTAAATTTGATTCCCTCTTACTTCCCAGAGCAGTCATTTTGACACCTCCAATTCAAATGAATGGAACATACTGTACAGGCTTAGGTATTAATTAGTATAAGTAATTTGGCTTTTATCTTTAATACATCTTTTATCTTTTCAAGCTAAAATCTAACGTCTACTTGCTCAAAGCTGAGATTACTCGGAACCAGTCAAGGATAGAGATAATTTCATGAGCTTAAAGACATACGATAAACTACATTTAAAGGCGCTATACCCGTTTCTGCAATGTTTGAATGTTTAGCACCGCCCCCCAACTCGCTCAATGGCTTCTCATTTCTCATAACACAGAGCCACCTAGTTTTATTTGCGATCTGATACATATGCTAACATTAGCATTAGCGCAACTTCTTGTAAGCTGTGCAACAATCACTGATGAAATGGCACTAAAGCAACGCACTGCTAACACAATATATAAGTAAAAGAATACCGCTAGTTTCGCGTCCGAATGTATTGATTTAAAACCTTAGAATATATTCTAATATTTAATTATAATTTGTTATAGAGCTACTCAAAGCAGCAGCAGCAATTCTTCCGATCATTTTTCTTGATAACAGAACTCTCAAACCAATAATGACCGAAGCCCCAATGCAACCTGTTTGTAATTCAGGTGTGTAAAATACTGCCATTACTCTGCAAGTACAAAACGCTATTAGCGCCTGTCACTACACACTTGTCTGTGTAGAGAAGCTAGCGGAGCTAGCCACGCTCAATAAACAACTACATATCTATCAATCAACACCATTAAACGTCAATCGGACAATACAGTACACATATACATCCTTGACACACATGCACGGATGATTTCAGAATTTGCTGTTAACGTTTTCATGACAAAAATACTGTTTCAATGTGACAAAAAGCGATTGCGAAAAACCCGGAAGTTACCATGAAACAGCTAGCTAGCTTAGCTGTTACCTGCCTAGCACGTCCCGGTGAAACCTTTGGGAGCTAACTATTTTATTTGCAGTCATTCAATACATTTCGAATTACAAGGGTTGTCTAATATTTGTTCAAATTTTTTTATTCCAATAATTTTTTTCATCATTTTTTATTTTAGAATTATATTCGAATTTTGAAGTCCAGCGCTGTAGGGGCTAGAGGACGCTGGCTGTTCGCTGCTCGTTCTGTGAGCGGAGGAGAAAGAGCGGCCCGCTCAGACTCTACTCAGCACTTTTCACTGCTTGTAATTCTTACACAGCTGAATCAATTACCTCAAGTTTTCAATTAAATGATGTATTATGATACAACTTGTATGTAGTAAAAAGCATTTTTATGAACTACTTAGAAAAAAAATCGGGTATAGCTTCTTTAAATACAGAAACAAGTTATGAAGAGCAAACACGTACACAAGCAGACTGATTACACTTCCAAAACAAAAACCCTTGACTGCTGTGGGAGTTCTAATATTTAACCTAGTTGCAATGGAAAGAAACACAAAAACACCCCTCCCCATCTCTCCGCAGGACCGCCTCATCTACTTAGACATTGCTGAAGATTTCGTGGCCAAAGCCAAACGGTTCTACCCTCCAAAAGATGGCGATTCTGACGAGGACCCCACGGGGCTGAGCATCAACCTGCCGCTGCTGCTGGCACGCATGAACGGAGCGCGTGGTGGTGATGATGAGGAGGAGGAGGAGGATGAGAGTGACGCCAGTGACAGGTCCTAAAGCTGCAGTTCTCCACACAGCAGGCAGAGGGCACCAGTTTACAAGCTTGAACACATGAGCTGATACACAATACAGAAGCTATTTAGAGGGGAAGTATTGTGCAAAATAAACTTGTAAGAACTTTTGAGCATGTTATATTGTTGTCCTTTTATCCCTTCCCTTTCTCACTTTCAACATTGTATTTAGAGATCCTTCTTGATTTGTTTGTTAATCTTCCTAATACTCGAGTGATTTCTCTCGTATATCTCTGGTATATAACCTGTCTCTCAGCCAGATTTTCTTTCTTTTACATTTCTTCAATATATTTACAATCAATTTGATCCTAACATTATTTTCAATTCCAATGTTCAATTTCAGATTTAGATTTTTAAACATAGTTTTCCGATACATACAAATTGTGTGCACATTTAAGGCATAAGAGATATGTGAAAAAACGACACCTAAAAAAAGATTGTTTTCAGGCCCGTGGGCCATGTCCGGCCTTAAACCTACCAGAAAATATCCAAACTCATATCAAATACAATTAATTTGTCAAAAAACCAAAATGTGTGAAAAAATATTAAAAATAAAGAACTTTTATACTTGGCCCCAACAGCTCTTATGTTTTTAAATTTGGCCCCCAACCAAGGGGGTGGTTTTATATCAACGTTAAAATATAAAATACATTGTATTCTCATGGACAGGTGCACACAAACAGATGAACAAAAGCACAATCTTCTGTAAGTTTTCTCAAAGCATATTTTTTATTAATTTAAAAAGAACTCTCTAGAATGTTAATATGTAAATTACCTCGAGGGCTGTTCTGTTCTTTTAGACTTCTTTTTGTTCTTTGATTATCTGCTGCTCTTACCCCAGAAAAAAAAATCACATGATTGGGAATAACTCTCCATAAATATCTCATCATTCTCCTAAATTATAGTTAGCATTTATAAAAGAGATATTCATGGCCTCCTGATTCAGAGGAGAGTAATGGAAGACACATTCCACTAAATTTCATTCTATTTTTGGAGAAAGTATGTTCGTCAACAGGCTGTACGTGAATACAAGCCACAGGTTTTTTGTGTGTATTTACAAAGAACTTCTTTGCCTGTTTTTTCTCTGCTGATCACATCAACACCCGGGAAGCAGGCATGTATACTATTTCATCAACTCCTGAGATAAACAGCTGAAAGAGCTGTGTCCAAATCCCTTCCTACTCCATGGGGAGTACTAAAGAAATAGAAATACATACACTGGCCCCATTGTTTTGTTGCTGTTCAAAGACCTTAAAAAATGAGCAGCTTACAGTCCAGGAATTAGCAGCTGTTGTCCTGACCAATGTGAAAACACACATCAGAGACAAACCTATGTTTGCCTGCATTAAACTCATGAGTTTTATAAAATAATCATCATGAGAAACACCTTGAGGTACAATAAACCTCAGGCGGAGTGATATGGAACCTATAATTTACCATTTAACAACAGTTTTCATTTGAAATACATTTTAATTCTCAAAGTATTCTCTCCAACACTGGTCCTGTACGCAGAGTCAGATCCTCGAACTGTGGCCTACTCAATGTTTCTTGTGCAAAACTGAAAGTAGGAGCATCAGCTCTCTCTCATTACGCTCCCTGTAAATGGAATACTCAACCCAATGAAAGGGCGACAGTAGCTCAGTTGGTAGAGCCTTGGCCTTTGAGCCAGAGGGTCGTGGGTTCGAGCCGACCTTCACCATCAACTCCCACTGTCTGCTGTCGTTGTGTCCTTGGCAAGACACTTAACCTCTGGGAACACCAGCCACAGTGGGGCGGCTGCGGCTGTAAAGTGCCAAACTGCTGTTGTGTCCTTAGGCAAGACACTTCACCCCCATTGCCTAGAATGAGTCTGGTGTGTGTGTGAATGGTAGTGGTGGTCGGAGGGGCCGATGGCGCATACTGGTTGCCTCGCTTCTGTCAGTGTGCCCCAGGGCAGCTGTGGCTACAGTGGTAGTTTATCACCACCGTGTAAGGAGTGAATGAATAATGACATGTGAAGTGTCTTTGCGTGTCCAGAAAAGCGCTATATAAAACCGATGCATTATTGACATCAAGTCTGCCCTAGTATTGAGTCTTTAGGGGTAAACTAACATTTGTTCAGACTGTTGTTTCAGTTTGTTTCAATGTCTATGCTTGTCTCACCTGTTGTCATGCACATTGAGTTTCATGTGATTGTATGAAATGTGCTATATGAATAAATGTCCTTCTTTTACTTGCTTAAGAACACATTTAAACGGCATTAGGCAGTGGAGGTGTATCGGAAGTCGATCATTCAGCGGTGTGTGTCCGTCAAGTATTGTAAAAGGTTGTGTAGGTGAATGAATTTGTCTGTGTAAGTTTGTGTGCAATGCTAAAATAAAGTTGCAGCCGAAAGTGTGTGTGCGAAAAGACTGTGGTGCCATCTTCTGTCTCCAAAATGACATTAATATTACATTACAGAAGAGCTCCCCCCAACAGCCCTCACAGTTATTGGACATTAACTTCCCGTGTATTTTTCACAAATCCTACACATTTGCTCTTGGAAGCTTATATAGAGACATCAAAAAAAGAATACGCATGTGTCAACTCCTTTTGCAGATTGAAACGATTGAACGTATGTACTGCGCCCAAGTCAGTTGTTAGCATTTAGCATTTAGCCTAGCTTTAGCCATCTCCTTTGTCGCTAAAGGAGCCCGTGGGGAGTAGAGCCACAACATCTTTGCCAGAAATGACATTTGCTAAACATTCCTCTTGCTCCGGCTTCAATTTCTTGATTTTTGGAATCAAACCAGAACGGATTACTTTACTCTCTCATTCACCGCCATTGCCAAACTACAACCAGCTAATTCTGCCGTCAGAATCTTGACGTCACAACACCTACCTGCAACACCCGCCTCCCCTGCTTGCTGATTGGGATACAACCGAGGTAACTGCAGCCACAGGGAGCAGACCCAGATGTACATGTAGAGAAATGTTAATTTACCAGAGTTTACAGATGGCTAAGGCCAGGCTAGCTCAGAACAGACCACGAGAGCAATTTCATTACAATTACAATTTTTCATAGTCCTAAATCAGCATCATCTCAGGGGACTTTACAAAGTTGTCGATTCACCAGCAACAGATCAGAGAATAAAACAGTTCAATTTGGAGAGACGAGAAACAAGAAGCTTTGAGTATTTTATTGGGAGGAGGTTTGGCGTCCTAGGCCCCGGTGCGGCCTTCGGATCGGAGGGCCTCCATGCGAAGGAGCGAGCCAATCCCCCGGGACCTAGGCACTGGTGGCGGCATTTGCAGCGGGAAGCAGATTGAAGGCAGAATGAACGCAGGGTGAAGAGGAGGAGGAGGGGAGGCGGTGGTTGCAGGCTTCGAGAAGGCCGAGAATGGGAGTTCCTCCGCTTTTAAGCAGCTTGCTTGGCTGGACCGGTGATTGGAAGGGGGCGTTTGCCGTGCGATAGGCTGGGGATGAGAACCGGCCTGGAGGGGTTACCTTTGGCTGACGTCTACCAAATTGAACTTTCGCTGGCTGCATTTCAATTTGGAGAGACGAGAAACAAGAAGCTTTGAGTATTTTATTGGGAGGAGGTTTGGCGCCCTAGGCCCCGGTGCGGCCTTCGGATCGGAGGGCCTCCATGCGAAGGAGCGAGCCAATCCCCAAAAAGGTTGTCAGTTGATGGAGTTTTGCAGCCTGGTTTGGAGGGGACAGACGTCGAGACTACTCTATGCTGTGACCGCTATATACTGTGACCGCTATCGCTATATACTGTAACCGCTATCGCTATATACTGACGAGTCGCGACCATCGCGCGCTAACCATTTTTTGCTATATACTGTGACCGCTAACCATTTTTTGCTATATACCGTGACCGCTATATGCTGTGACCGCTATCGCTATATACTGTGACCGCTATCGCTATATACTGTGACCGCTATCGCTATATACTGTGACCGCTATCACTATATACTGTGACCGCTATCTACTGTGATCAATACTTGCGGATACTCGGCTGCTGGCGGCGCCTATCCGGAAGGAGTGAGCTGTGTAGAGATGGGGAGACAGGTTACAAAGCAGCAGTACGGACTTTAGTTGGGCTCTGAACCAGTTGGATGACATTGGGAGGTGATCGGGGTTGAGAAATAACGGTCCGTTGAGATCTCCTTTCCGAGAGCGGAGGCGAGTGTAATGCATCATGGGTTATCTTTGCGCGCTGGGAACGTGAGCGTTTGCATCACGTTCCGTCAGACGCTGCGGCAGCGGAGAGTGTTTGAGAAGTGCGTGCCGCCACCAGAATCTTATTGCTTCACTTACTTTGCTTCGTATTGCTTTGCTGGGAGCTTACGAGGAAGCCAGTAGACGTTGTGCAGCCAGGATAGCGGACGCGTCTGGCCTGATGTAGGCGGAGAAAGCCGAAGAGGACCAGCGCCCCAGCTGTTGCAGAGAGGTGTGCTCGTGTAGGGCAGAGGAGATGCTCCGGTGGAAAGTAGCGGCCACGGCCCGGCAACCCAATGGTCCTGGAAAAAACCCCCCAAAACCCACGGAAGGGGCACGTCCGTGTAGAAGCGGAGACCTGTAGGGGCAGAGACGTATCGGAGAGGGCCATGAAGTTGCAGGCGCCCTCACGCTTAGAATCTTGGGTTGGAGAGTAGATAATCAGGATAGTAGGATGGTCGGGAAAAGCCGTGTCTCGGACCGCATGAAGGTTGAGTGAGCAGTATTGAAACGCTTATGCAGAGAAGCCATGGAAGGCGAGCAGGAAGATGCTGCGAGGAGGGCAGACATGTACTTGGAAGATGAGCCGGAGTTCAGCGCCGCTGCAGGATGGGCAGCATGATGGGGAGCCTGCGATCAGAAGAGTGAAGAATACAGGTATGGATGCCTTTGATTAGGAGTCCGATTGACGGCTCAGCGCAGCTACTCGGCCAGCTGCATCTGATAGAATCGGAAGATTAAGTAAAGAGATGAAGCATGACCGCCGAAGCGACCCTGGGAGCATAGGTGCGAGTCCAGCG